AATCTCTAAAAAGGATAAATAAATCTAATTATGAACATGAGCATAAATTAAAGTACTCACAATATGAAAGGATGGTCAAATACTCAGAAGAATCAAGCAATTGTTGAGTATGAGGATTTCTTTTTATTATTATTTTTAATTATTTTTGTGCTTGCCTGTGCGAAGCGAACTGCGAAAGAAGAAAATTCAAGTGTCTCGCTGTGGACTGTGGTTATGTGCTGTTGAGGGGTAGATCTATTTTTTTAAGTTAATTAAAGTAGCCTAGATTAGTTGGATTAAATATTAATAAAGAAATAATATAATATTGCAATACATAAAAGGTTGAAAATTGGGTTGGGTTGTTTTAAATATATTTATAATGGGCCTTGGTCCTAACCCACCTAATCAAAGACTAGATTTTTAATTAATTGGTTAGGAGGGGCAAAATAAATTAAATATACTTAATCTATTATATTATATATATATTTAGGTAAAAAAAAAAAGTTTGGGGGGACCATGGCCCCCTGTAGGACATATCCGTCCGCCGCTGTCAGCAACAAGGTATAAAGATACAACTCTACGGTCTCATTGCCTTGTCTTTGTCTGGAGTTGTTATTTATACTTTCCTTTTAGTAGGCTTCTAGTGCACGTTGAGTGTCACTCCTTTGTTCTCTTTCAACCTTTTATTGGGCCCTTTAGCCCAAGCTGTACATTTTGCTTTCGAGTTATAAAATCTGCCGTTTAAAAAAAAAAAAGAAAAATGTTTCATATTTATGATGGATGTGTTGCTTGCTCTGATTTATACCAACATCTACTTAATTTTTTATTTTGAGCCCAACACTATTCAATTCATTTCAAAAGAAGTAAATGAAAACTGAAAGAACGGTTTCAGATTAGTTTGCCTAGGTCGTTATATCTAGCGAAATTAAGGGTTTTCATGTCATTTCATGCATCTGTCCCGAGGAACCAGATTCTCTCTCCTAATCCGAACTTCTAATAATATCTACCTAAATTTCAACATACAATAATAAAAATATATAAAGAAAGAAAGAGGGAAAAAAAAAACCCAGGAAAATGGAAAAACAGAAAAGGGAAAGAGTGAAAAGAAAAGAATTTCAGACAGCCCACATAATAGAACTCTGAGATTCATACAAGAAACAGAGTTGAACTCACAGAACAAAAGAAATAGGTATTTTCTTTTGTCTAGCTGATTTGGTTAATTTTCTCCAATTATACAAGTGGATTTTGCTTTGATTGAAATGTTGGTGAGCGGATCAAGCTTGGGATCTTGCTCGGTTGCTTATTTA